GAACATTTTTTACTCAAAATCTGGTTCGCGGGTAATAGGTTAACTCAAACCCTGGCCATTATCTTTTTTATCCCGTTGGGTAGCCTCACGGCAATTAGATAGAATAATTATTAGGTCCGGTGACCGGACGTAGCTCTACGTTCAGTCACCACTGAGATCGCGCCACGTGCTCTTACTCTTTACCGCGCGGCTCGACGACTTGACCCGGACCGGAACCCGGAAATGCTATGTTCGCGTATTGTTAGATATTACTCAGTATTTACTCGGTATTGCTCTGTATTACTAGGTATTGCTTGGCAATAACGAGAAATACCTCTCTGTGAAGACCAATACCGAGCAATACTGAGTAATACCGAGTTTTTCTTAAAAAAACTCGGTATTGCTTGTATTGCTAGGTATTTGTCTTCACATAATGATATTTCTCGTTATTGCCGAGCAAAATCGACAAATATCTAGCAATACCGAGCAATACCTAGCAATACTGGGTTGTCATGGATTTAAAAAACGCACTTGCAACATACCCACTATTCGTCGGGTCGGGTCCACATTTTTGTGCCTGCTACGTGGCGCGATCTCAGTGCCGGCCAAACGTAACTCTATGTCCGTTCATCAGACCAAATAAAAGTTCTAGGAGATGACCGACCAGCCTATACTGAAAATATTTCTTACTTTTATATGACCTTTTGAGCGTTGCGAGTTTTTATTTTGAAGTGTTCACTTCTCTCTTCTTCTAATTTAGGGTGAGCATCTAAGGAGCTTTATGGCTTCAAAGTATAAAATAGTGTTTAGTTGTATTTTTGTTTTCGCTTTGATATAATTATTATTTTTTGTTAATGAAATTGGGTTGTGCTCAATAATTACACAGGTGGATTAATTATAATGCTACAAATGATATGTTGTGCATAATTGGAGAAGAGACATATTTTATGATTTATAACTCATTATTAAAAAAATTTAAAATTAAAACATCCAAAGAACAATTAGACAAGTAGATGTTCTTTAAAAAAAATTAATATAGAAAATCATCACTTAGTTTTAATTAAAATGAATTTAAATTTTACATTATAGAATTTTTTATAATTTTTAAAAAGTATGAAAATGTGTTATTTTATTTTAAAATAAATTTAAAATAATAAAATATTTACATATAATAAGCAAACTGAACTCAACTGCACGTTAAGATTTCGTTTGGGATCACTTTTTTGTTATTTTTTAAAATAAAATTTTAGTATAAATTTTTAAAAAAATTATATTAAAAATTATTTTAAAAATTAATAAAAAAAATGTCTCAAATAAAACCGAAAAATCTTTGTTCTTCTACTCCATCTGGGAACGCGATTGTCAAATTGAATTCTTTCCTTTTGTCTGCGAGTGATTTAAAGTCTCTTTCTTCCATCATTTTCGGTTAATTTTAGCAGGAAATTAATTAAGCATGTGTGGAATGCTTTACATGCATGGATGATTGCTTTTCTTTCAACTATTTGGTATTTATAGGTTATTTGATTTTATGTATTAAAAAATGTAAAATATAAAAATATAGAAGCTTTGAATTTTAAATTTTTTATGAGAACATAAAATCAATTTAAGAAAAAAAAAATGTTAATATTTATGAATTTAAGTCTTGCACGATTGCTTCATTTGCAATGATCCATATGGGCAGCAGCCTGAGTCCTAGATGCGTTGCATCTACTACCACATTTTGTTACTTCAATTTTGATAATTATGGTGGTATAGTTGTGGTTTTTTGCCCGCATAAGTTTTTTTTAATTTTTTCTTATGTTGGGCTGTTTTCTCAGTTAATTTTTTGATTACTTGTATTTGTTTTTTACTTTTCAAGTAATAGAAGGGCTTTCTGCCCCAAAATTTCCCAAAAAAAAAAAAAAGCCAACTCAAACTCGGACTGAATTAATTAACGAAGTTGAAGTGCAAGCCACGTGGAGATTAAACGGGTAGCACTCATCACGGATTTTATCGTATATTAAGCTCTAATGAATAGATAGCATTTAATCCTTTTTGTACCACGTCACGTGACGTCAAATGTAGGTGGGCCCTCCACTTATTTCTTCACGTGAAAGACGAGTCTCCGTTGAGCACCGCTCTCCAATTAATTAAAAAATAAAATCAGGTCAGAAGATTTTATTTTTTTAAGTGTTAAACAAATTTCAACATAGTTTAAATAATAATTAAAAATTAAAACGAGCGGAGGTAACTTTGGAGTTCATATAATTTTATTATGATAATCTAAAAAATATAATATTTGACACTTTTTAATAATATTTATTTTATTTTTTTTGTAAATTTAAGTATTTTTATTTTTAATATTTTAAATAGAAAACCGTATATTTATGTCATTTAAGAAAGAAGGCTACCTTCTCAACGAGCAAGTTCATGTCATTATCATTACTTCCAATCCAACAGAAGAATAGCGAGGAGGTGTGCCTTTGGATCCGACTAGGGATGTCAAAATGGGTTTTTGGGTTAGAGTTCAGATCCAACCCAAAACTTGACCAGCCTTCAACTGATACGGCTCGAACCATACCTGATTAGATAGACGGGTCAGAAATTAAGACCCATACCCAACCCGTCACTAATCCAAGTCGACTCAACCCGACCCGCTAGCACAGGCAATTGCTCGAGAGAGTGCTGGTCAGTGCAGGGAAGCAGGCGAGGGGTCGTGCCACATGCGGACAAGCCGCGAGCGAGTGAGGTGGCATGTGGGCAAGTGCATATGGGCGTGAAGAGCAAGCAAGCTTGCGCGCTGCATGCAGGCGTGAGGTGAGCGCAAGGTCGACCACGAGTCCGCGATGGACTAACAAGCAGATTGAGGATGAGAGATGAAGGGTAGACAACGATAGAGAGGTTGTGAAACCCCTTAAGTTAAATGAGCTAAACTCTTAAATATCAAGGCATCTTTTACTGTAATTGTTAGAATTTTATTTAAGAAACTCTGTAGTTAAGTGTGCTCATCATGGAGAAATCCTGAGATGTGTTATCTCATGTGAAGTTACACTAATATGACAAAACTATGAGGCCCTTAAGCCAAAACAGACAATATCTTGATAGTTAAAATTTTATGCTGTTACAATTTGTATCAGAGAAATACATCAGCCGGAAGATGGGAACTAAGTGTCATACAAAATAAAGTGCAACTCTATGGGAGCCACCTCTTGAATCATGTATGGGACAAAATGCTACGTTGCGGGAGTCGTCACTTGAACTTGTAGGGGTCACCTCTAGATTCCTATTTGCCTAGTGGAAGATTTTGGGATGGGGATAACAAGGATACAAGTACTTAAGAGGTGGAGATTATAAAACCCCTGAAAAGTAAAAGAAGTTAAACTCTTAAACATTAAGATGAACGAGTCACTTTTTGTGTTAATTTCAAATTTTGTTCTGACCTGAACCTAACACAAATGTTCATTCGAGTTAGGATTTGAAACCCCAACCTAACTTGATTTCCAAACAGATTGACCCAAATCCATAATTTTTTGATCGAGTTACAATCGAGTTTTTAGATCGTGTCAAATATTAACACCCCAAGATTGAAGGAACGTCGTCAAAGGAGGCTAAAAGGTTATTTAGCGACTCCTTCGAAACTCTACCTCTGACGTGAAGCAGGCGAAGCTGAAGAGCAATGAATATATAATAGGAGAAAAGGAAAAGAAACCCAACCAAACCTAAGGTTAAAACAAGAGCAAAACAGGCATTACCAGGAAAGTAGAACACAGGAAAAAAAATAATTATGTTTAATTAAAATTAATTAAGAATATTGTTGCGTCCTAGAATATTCGCGGCGGTAGAGAAATATATGGTTTAACGTCTTAGCATTGTACGAAGATCCAGCACACAAGCAGATAAGAGAGGGGGTGAAACATTCATAAGAGACACCAGAGTTTTTTACGTGGAAAACCCCTGAAAAGGGGGAAAAACCACGGGGCCTGGCCCAGTTTGAATGAATCCACTAGTATTTGTAGTCGTTACAAATGAGGCTCTTCCTTGGGAGAAGGCCTTGGATTGATGTAGCAAATGTACATCATATACAGATTGCATTACATAGTAGGAGTTGAGGGCCTCTGAAGAAGGTGAGGGCCTCGGGTGAAGGTGATGGCCTCGGGCGGTGGTCCGGTGAAGCTCCGGCGGTGGTCCGGTGAGGCTCAGGCGGTAGTCCGACGAAGTTTCAGTGGTGGTCCGGCGAGGCTTCGGCGGTGGTCCGACGAAGTCCAGTCGGTGGTCAAGGAGGAGCTTCTTCCTACTCTTCCTCCTTCTCTTCTTGATTGGACCCCCCCCTGTGAAGAAAGAGGGCTATATTTATAGATTTTCTGGAGTGGCATGGCCCGTAAATAGACGTGAGATCATGGACGAATAGGGAGTGGTCAAATGGACGACCAATGTTGAATCATATGATCGTGCATCATTCTTTTGACATTTGAAGGCCTTAGAGATTTCGGTGATCTTGGGCTCGTTGGATTTGTCTCGTCAAGCCGTTCGATTCGAGTGTAAGCTCGTTAAAATCGGAGACCGTTTGGTAACTCAAATTACGTTTTGAACCTTCCAACAGCGCTTCGGGTCCATGATTCAGACCTATTTGGGCTCGGATTGGATCTAATTTGGTGTCGTTGGATTCGCATTTCCGAGACGCTCAGTTCGACTGTAAGCTCGCTTAAATCGGAGTTCACGTGCTCCCAAATTTAATTTTTGAAGTTTCCGATTTGAGATTTGCCTCGAGATTCGTGTCCGATCAAGATAATTTCATGATGACGTATCAAATATAATATAAAATAACTAATAATTAATTATTTAGATTAATTGATAATTAACTTTGATTCAACTTATATATTTATAATAAAAAGTTAGTGATGATAATTAAATTTAATAAGTAATTCATAAAAAAATTAAAATTAAAAAGTTCTTTCTTACTAAAAAGTAAAAACAATGAGTAAGAAAGTTGTCCCATACAGATGGTAAGTGATGGAGTTTATAAAACGTGGGCTCCCGAATTCTGTATTTCTTCTCCAACCGCCCTCATCACAAATCCCATTCTCTCTCTAAAACATCCTCTCCGTACCCTCCCCCGTCCTCCCTCTCTCTCTAAAACCATCAAGCAATCGTCATCCATGATATAAAGCGCCAAAGCGGCGTGGAGCTGATGAAAGAGATGGATATTTGAATACGATTCTATATCAGGCTTCGGAAATTTGAATACGATCGAAGAATGGCACACGGAAACTTCGACTGCGACACCGAGCTCTGCCTCACTCCCGGCGGCCGCCAGAGCAGCAACACTGGTTTGATAAGAAGGTATAATTTCTCTCACTCCCCTTTCTGGTTCTTATTGTTGTTTTCATTTTAAAAATTTTCATGAAGTTCTAAATGATTGGAAATATGATCTCCTCGTTAATTAATAAATTTGATGATGGAAGGTCCAACGCCGGAGACATCGCCGGCGGCGAACAGCAGCAGGAGATTACGATGTTGTATGGAGGTCAGGCCTGCGTCGGCGATGTTACTGAAATACAGGTTTCTCTCTCTCTCTCGATTCTATCTATCTATAGAAATTATTAGATGCAAATTTACTAGGTTGTGGACAAAAACCAAGAAAGTTAAATTTTAATTTGCAGATCAAGAATCTAGGCCTGAGATAAGGCTTTGTTTGGGACGGCTTATTTGTTGTTTTTTAAAGTAATTTTTCAATATAAAATTAAAATTTTTATATTGAAAAGTTGATTTAAGAAGTAGTAAAAAAGTTATCCCAAACAAAATCTTTAGATCATCAAAGATCGTTCAAAGATTGAATCCATTTTTAGTTAAGTCGAGCTCAAATCAAACCAAATGGATTAAGCTATAAGCAAACATTTTTGGGTTCTGATTTTGAGCTCATTTCAAGCCGGGCTTGAATATATTAAATATCAATAGAACATATATTAAATATTGAACAATAAAAAAAATAATAATTGAGCTGACTCATAAAATTTGAGTATGATCAAAATAAGATGAGCGAGCGGATTGATCTAGAAGAAGCCAACTCAAGCTACAACAGACTTATAACTGTTGAACTGATGGCCAGAATTAGACCAGCTCACAAATCAGCCGCCCACAATCAGATTCTATATGAAATGTGAGGTCAATAATACTAATTTCAATGAAATAAAATAAGAATTATAAAATTTATTATTAAAAGTTATCAAATAAACAAGTAATACAATCATTCCCTCCAATGAAAAAGAAAAAAAAAATAAAATAATTAAGTTGAGTATATTTGAAGGCAACCCTTTTTATACCATTACTCGGAAAAAATAATCAGAAAAAATGATAAAGTTATTTAAAAAATAATAAAAAAATAAAAATTATACAAAAACTTAAAAAATCCTAATAAAAAAATAAGATCGATCGGATTTTAAATGATATCTTAATAATATAATCATTGTGAAATAAGGTTCATCGAGAACTTTTGAATATTTTTATGTGAAAAAAATAAATATTGAAATACAGCTTTATTATTTTAGTTATCTTAAAAAATTAATTAAAAAAGCACGAAATAAGAGCTGTAAAATCAAATAAAAAAGATTTTGCTAATAAAAATACTCTATTATTAAAAAAAATAATATATAATCCACTTATAGAATCAATGTCTGAACACCCAAAGTCCCACCCACCCAATTACGCGCTTTATTGGGTGGGTGCACGTGGGAATCACCGCTGTAACATTCACTCACTTTTATCTAGAAGAAAACAAATGTGAAGCACATTTTATACAAGTAAAATACTAAACTGAACAATAACTGTGAAGCAGAATTATTGAAATTATATTTCCTAAAAAATTATAATTACTAAATTGTGTCGTATATTTATAATTTATTATTTCTTTTAAGAAAAAAATAATAATTTGAAACAGGAAAAAAGAAGGATTAAAATAAGCAAAGTATAAAAATATAAAAAATGAAGATTTAGTAAATTTTTTGCTCTTCAACAAATATTAAATCCTTTTTTTATTTTATTATAGCATGTAATATAAATATTTATATCGAAATATAAAATTTTAAAAAGTTATTTTATTTTGGCATGTAATAGAAATATTTTTTTATCTGAGTAGCATTTATCCTTTTCAAGTATTGGTAAGTAAGAATCACTTTAAAAAAACTCTCAACATTATTCTTTTTTTCTTAAATAAATTAGAATGTCCTCATCCATTTTTTATTTTATACCATCCATTTTTATTCATTACAAACACTCACCATTGCGCACGACAACAATAACAAATCAAAGTCTTAGTTATTCAACTACAAGAAACTCATTATTACCGACGGCAATTTCCGGCGGTGATTTGATCATCGGAAACTCTGTCGGTATTGAGTGAATTTTCTGTGGTGTTCAAAGCAAAACTTATATTTCGTTTGAGACATTTCTTAATTATTTTCTAAAATAATTTTTCTAGTACAATAATTTTTATTGTACTAAAGCTGTTTTATAAGAAAATTGTCCTAAACAAAATCTTAGTACACCGTTTTATCATTCATATTCTACTTCATAGTAATATTCATATGTAATATAAGCTAATGCTTCTCAATAAATAGCTCACTTGAAGCTATGAACCTTACTTTTGTTAAAGATGATCGTAAAAGTATATTGATTTGGTGAAAGAAATGCAGGCAAGGGCTATCATATGCATGGTTAGAAGAGAGATGAAGGAGATGATGGGGAGTAGCAGCGACTCATCTTCTCTTGCTGGTTCATCATGGTCAGCTGCGCTGCCACCTCCATCATTTTCAGAGCCATTGATAGCAAATCCGGGGCTCTCGATGAAGAGATCTTTGCAAAGATTTTTGCAGAAGAGGAAAGCTAGGGTTTATGATAGCATTCCTTATCAGCCTCAGAAGAAAGACAGCATGTATTAAGAGGATAATTAGCTCTCTCTCTCTCTCTCTCTCTCTCTCTCTCTCTCTCTCTCTCTCTCTTTTAGGTTTCTAAGGTATTTATCTTGCATTTATACTTTTGTTAATCTTTATTAATATGTGGTATTGATATTTTATGGATTACTTGATCTGGTTTGATAATATGTCTGTTAACTTCTACTTTCTTGACGATGGCAGATAATGATCTTATTAGTATTGGTGGGCATCAACTTTGGTATTTAAGTTTTATCAAATTAGCATTGGTGAGAACTTGACAACTTATCATAAGAAGTCTTAAATTTTAGCTATGTAAGTTTTTTAAAATTCTTAAAACACTCATTTTTTAGATTTTTCTTGTAGAATCATGCAACATAAATAGAAATTATTAGTGATTATGATTTTCTTGGTGCTTGCATAAATTGGAATTGTGTATCATAACAAATTACAATGGAACATATTTGAAATTTGATTTGGAGAAAATAGCCTAATGATTGATGCTAACTTTGTTATAATATCATAAAATAGGGCTAATTTCCATCGTCAATACAATAATTTAAGTTTAAACCCTAATCTTGATCATTATTTTCTCTATCGAATATATCAACTTACGCATGTAGTGGTGTAACTAAGTAAAGCCGACTCATAAGAGACCTTAGCACTTATGGATAAGTGGCTTGTGGGTCGAGCTTGACGTGCTAGCAATCCAAATTTAAATTGGCTCTAACTTAATTTGTCAACTCATGAACACGCTAATTTTAAAAAATGCTGATATAAAATACACTTAAAATGTTAAAATATAAAGTTATAAAAATATTTAGAAATCTTATCTCTCCTTATCTCAAGGGAAATTTATTTATTTTTCTTCTCATTTTATAATTCTTCTTATAATACTATTACAATATTTATTTGAATTAAAATCATCTTCTCTCTTTCACAATAAATGGATCTCTTCGTGAGCCACAATTAAGTTCTATTAATCAGTTAAGCTCAAGCTCAAATTGGAAGTGAGTCGAACTTGACTCTACTCATTTACATCATTACACATAATAATTTATCCTTTACGCAACATCAGTATAAAATAATTTATTTTTTTTAATTTTAAAAAATCACCAACGTCCTTTTTTTAATCTTAAAAATGTAATTAATCATTTTAATCTTCCTGACTCTAATAGATACTTTACAGTCTTTATTGTAAGTAGCACACTTAGGTTGACTTTATTTCTTAATCTTATAAATTAGTGTCATTTTTTTATTTGGAAATACTTTTTTTGTGAGAAAAACCCAAGAAATTTTTAATAATTAAATTTATTAGAATATGATTATTATAAATATGTTACCTTAGACTTTTATTGAAATTTTAATAATAATCACACCATCTCTTACAAATTCTATTTTTAAAAATACTTTTACAACTAACATAATTTAATTATCCTTAAAGCGGTGGACTATCTTAAATAGGCCCGTTCGGCCCTTCTCAAGGCCCAAGCTAGGTTTCTAATGCTTTACCTGAAGATCCAAAAATAATTGCCATAAAAATACTAGAAATAAAACTAAACAATAACTATTACTTAATAATTTCTGTTTAAAATAATATTCTCAAACTACACTTGAGATAACTATAGCGTCATGAGAAAAATTATTAGGTTCGGACACCGGACGTAGCTCTACATCCAAACGCCAATAACATGTCTCCACGTGCTCTTACTCTTTATCGTGCGGCCCGACGAACCGACCCAGGCCGGAATCCGGTATTGCTATGTTCGGGTATTGCTAGGTATTGCTCGATATTGCTAGGTATTGCTCGATATTGCTAGGTATTGTTAGGTATTGCTTGTCAGAAACAAGAAATACCGCTATGTCAAGACCAATACCTAGTAATACCGAGTAATACATAGCAATACCGAGCAATACCTAGTAAAACCGGGGTATTTCTAGGTATTGCTCGGTATTGCTAGGTATTGGTCTTGACAAATTGATATTTCTCGTTATTGCCGAGCAATACCGAGCAATACCTAGCAATACCCCGGACTGCACAAATCAGCCAATACATAGCAATATTGGGTCCGAGTCATCGGGCCGCGTGGTATAAAATAAGAGCACGTGGCGACATGTTATTAGAGTCCGGATGTAGAGCTATGTCAGGTGTCCGGACCTAATAATTTGACAGTTACTAAGTTGTGAGAAAAATATTTTTTTTTTGAAAATTTTAATGAAAAAAAAAACTATTTAATTTTAGCAATTTTAATTATAAAAAATAGCTAATCACAATAAATTTTTTAAAAAATAGCAGAAAAAAGTAAGAAAATAATAGCCAACAGAACTATAGTTGTGATCTAAAAAATAAAATGTTGAAAAAGTTGTCCCAATTAGGTCCTATTTTCTTTATTTTGTCAATTTTCGACTTTTCGTGATTAAATCCAATAAACTTATTTTTAATTTCAAAATATATTTTAAAAATCCCAAAATATTAAAGTAATATATTTTGATGTGTTTTAGTTACAATTTTAATGATTTAACCTGAGTTTTAGGTTTCGTTTGGGACAGCTTCATTATTGCTTATTAAAGCAACTTTCTTATAAAAAATAAATTTTTATATTAAAAGGCTACTTTAAGGAGTCATAAAATCGTCCCAAATGAAGCCTCAATCATTTTGATTGAATATTTTGAAGATGCCAAACAACTAATATACATCCGATTTGATTTTATTTTTAATTTCAATTTCAACCTAATTTGTTAAGAAGACATATCAAAACCCACTTAGTGCTCATTGCTAACATATTTTATAGCTTAATAAATGATTTGATTGTCAACAATATTTGACATTTTCTTGAAAAAAAAAACTGTTCTTTACTTCAATGATTCTTTTCAATCAACATCAGAACCTTAAAGATCTTTTAATGGCTTTGGTTGTTTAGTTTAGTTCTGCCTTTCTCATTTATAAACTAATGCTTTTAGCATTAAATGTTGTGTAGAAAGTGGTTTAGGTAGGTAATATGCTTACATTGGGAAGCAAATTGCAATAAAAAAACTATCAGAAATGAAGCCTTAATTATAAGGTGTCTATATTTAATTTTAAGGAATTTTTATATACATTATTTATGTATCTACCACCAGTGAGATCACTTCCTATTCGACAACAACAACACCGTCGTCTGAGGCGGAGAAGCTCGGAGCGAGCGATTCTATCCGAAGCACTTAAGTCCTCAACAACGAAGAAATGGAGAAAATGAAAAGAAAACCTAAAGAACATGGAGTGGAAAGACCTACTCTGCTCGAGCGAAGGGAGACACGAGTTTTAATGGGAGGTAATGAAGTGGTATTTTAGATGAAGAGAATGATATTTAGGTGGTAGATAAATAAATATTATAGTTTAAGTATTATGTATGTAAATATAATAGTTTTAGGTGTTACGTATACAATAAATATTATAGTTTTAGACACGAGTTTTCATACTGTTTTTTGAAGCAGCTTTTTTAATACAAAACTTTTAGTTCAACAAAATTTTAAACTAAAAAATTTTTTTAGAAAGCCGATCCAAACGAAGCCTTAATCTTACATTGGATAGTTGAAAAAAAAAAACTAATTTAAAATATATTAAACATTTAGCCCTCAGTTATAATATTAAGTTTTGGGGTTTAAAATAAATTTGTTCGATGATATATTTGGCCTAATTTTAATTAGTTCTCTCTCAATTGGCATTTCATGTTAGATTGCCCCACCAATAGGCCACAATCTTATAGTAAATTTTATCATGAGGGAAAGAGAGCTGCAAAACCTAATGCGAATATGGATTGAGTCAGAAAATAATTAAAATCTAGGAGATGTGTAAGCCGCATGAATCAAGAGATGAAAAATAATTATTAATAATTTAAATCAATTTAGTCTTCAGTATACAATGTGAAATTAAATTAATATTTTAATGTATTTTAATAAGTAATAATTATTATAAAGCTAATGACGAAGATAGGAAAACTATGGCACTCCTCACAATAAAATAAAAAAAAATCTAAAATTTTGAGAGAGGGTCTGCTTCGGAATAGTAAGTTGTAGCTTTTTGTAAAAACGGTTATAAAATTGTTGTGAGGATAGTAACTTTTTTTAAAGTTGTTGTAGAGGGAAGCTTATATATAACACCTAGAAAGTCAGTGTACCATTCAACCCGTTTCGACATGACCAGATTCAAGGTAATCTGTTAAATTTATGTATTTAATCCTTCTGCATATGTTTGGGAATATTCAGTGCGCATATATTCTGAAATGGATTTTGGGGGTTTGTTTACAGTTTGAAAAAGTTTGAATTTTTTCCCAAGGGCGCCACGACACTGGTGTTGGAGGCGTTTTGGTGCTAAGATCTAGAAATTTTAGAAAAAAATTCAACATGAAGACGCTGGGGGTATCGCTGTGTAGCTATAGGCTCCCAAAGGGAATATCGTGGCGGGCGCTGTTGCGAGTCACGGTGCTCGACCTGAATTCTTTTTTTTTTTTTTTTAAATCAATTTATGCTAAAATGTCAATTCATTTTAATCTTGGTTTGTTGGCTAATGAGATAGAGAGAAATCTTTCTATGGAGGTTGTTTGAGAGCTTTAGATCTATTTTGATGTTTTGGTAGGTTGTTAATTATCTAATTTTGAGTTCAAGTAGTTTTAAGTTTTATTTGGGACATTCTTTAATTTGAATGTTTTCTAAAATAAAGTTTTAGCACAAATTTTTTTTAAATTATAAATTTTTGTACTAAAAAGCTGCTTTAGAAAACAATAAAAAAATTATAAGAAATGAAGCCTTAATTATAAGTTGGCTATATGCCTATATTTAATTTAGAGAAAATTTTATATACATAACACTTTAAACTATTCTATTTACATAGTTAACAACTAAAATACATTATTTATGTATCTACCATCAGTGAGATCACTTCCTATTCGACAACAACAACATCATCGTCTGAGGCAGAGAAGCTCGGAGCAAGTGATTCTATCCGAAGCATTTAAGTCCTCAACAGTGAAGAAATGGAGAAAATGAAAATAAAACCTAAAGAACACTGGAGTGGAAAGCACGAGAAGACCTACTCTGCTCGAGCTGTAAAGACTGTTTTTCCTCCCAGGATCGTCCAGGACGAAGTGGATCGTCCCGGGACGATCGGTACAGGTTG